AGAAATGGAAGGAATTCTTACATTTTTGAAGATCAAGGTGAAATGTTTGATGATATTTGAGAGAGAATTGACTTTTCTTGACTTGGAAGTGTGAGAAATGAATAGAAATGAAGGTATAACTCATATATGGGTATGAGTTCACGGCCACCATGGGTGTACGGCCGTACACCCATGTGTACGGCCGTACACTCCTCATGAAGGAGTGTTTGGCCCGAATGTAACACGATGAACTTTTAGTAACTCATTCCTATACCCTATCCTTGAATGTACAAGACTTAGAACACTCAAACAGACTCTAAACAATGCTAAAAGATGGAAGAAACGAGTCTGACTTTGATTGAATTGAATGGTTGTACAAGATAGAAATTTCGGGTTGTCACAGAATTATACCAATGTGTCCATAATCTCCAAGTCGTACTTCCAGTAAGGGTGTGATATCTCAATTTAACTATGTGAGTTTCTCAAACATCTCCATTGAGCATGGAGACACCAAAACGAGTAGAACCCTTCGAGATTCCTTAAAATAGAATTAGACCGATGTATCCGTAATGGCCAACTCTACGAGTTAGCTGCCCAATAAGGGTGATATCCCAAGTAAACTACGTTGAGTTTCTCAAACATCTCCATAAAGCATGGAGAGAACGGACACTTGGAAGACAAGATTTTTGATAACACTACGCAAAAGATATAGACCATATACTAAAAGAAAATTCCTAAATAACTACGGAAAGGTGCTTCGAAATTCTGTTAGATTTCATAGCTATTTTTCTATGGAATGAATTTCCATAGCTTTTTGGCCTACATATAATGATTATCTCACAAGCATAAAATGCGAACAACCAACAACAAGTTGACGCAATATTTTTGCCTACATACACAAGTATTGTCACCACTATCCTTCATTTTGCTTTCCTATGTAATGCCTATTTAGTAAAATTGATATTCTTATTGCCAACACCTATATGAACACATGGAAAACATATAATATTGATCCGACATGTTCGAATTACTAAAATTCATACCTTCCAGGGGATCACACCCCTTAACGTTTCCTTAGAGCCAACTAAGGGCACTCCCAGGGAGAAGAAAGAAACATGGCACATTACCACTAACCCCTACAATCCTTAACGGACAACAAAATTACACTCAAACTTCCGAGCCAACAGAACTTCAAGATCTTTCTTGTCACCCACCAAAACCGTCACATTGTCCAACAGTTGTATTTGATCACAAATACAAAATCATATTATGACCTATACAACTAAAAATATACTAATGAAGCATAGAATAGAATAAACAAAAATGGAAAGCAATCACCGCTTGCCGTCCTCTATTAAATGAAATTATAGCATCCAACCCTACAATCTCCACAAAGGGCTAAGTTTCACCTTACTCTTCCTTGGCAACATCACCATCTAACACACCAGTACAACTCACAAAAAATATAATAATCAAGCGTAAAATAGAATAAACAAAAAGGGAAAACAATCACCACTTACCTTTTTCGGTTGAAAAAAATTATAGCATCCAACCTTGGAATCTCCATAAATGGCTTTGATGTAACCAATTCATGGAGGTAGAAGTATGAGGCAAGTGAATCAAGGTCTAGAGTCTTCTTGGTTCAGTTGGATGCTCCAAGACATGTTGAACACAAAGGAAGAACCAGGGTCGATCTTAATCCGTAATCTGAGGGCGCTGCGGGACCAGAGGATGTATTTATAATTCTGAGTAAGTGACAATGTATATCACCCTATATGATTCATGGTCTCTATCACATATGTTTTTTTGCAGGTGATCCTGTGTAGAATACGATCCTTTGTTGGAATAAGGAGGGATCGATGACTTTGGTACTCGACATTTAGACCCATGTGTTCAGTGACTCGGTCTTTTGGGGCATCGTTTGGTCGGCTCAAGTGTATAGTGAGATTGTGTATGTCGGAGTAAAGGTCATTCTGGAAAAAACTGGAAAAACGCAATGTGTATGAATTTGATCAAGAACAGAACCGAGAAAGAGGAATATAGTTGTGAAGTTGGACCGTTAAAAATGTAGAAACAATTCCTATCGACATTGTTGGAGATGTGAACACGATAGAAGAGGGCCTGAGATAATCATATTCGTGAATGATAAATTTGATTTGGTTGGTGAAAAGCATTGAATGAAGACTGAAGAGATGTGTTGAATGAAAACCAAAAATAAAAGTGAATACAAAAATAAATAATAATTATGAATGATGATAGGGTAACTGACCTGAATATTAGGTTTTTAGTGGATGGTTTTGGATACGAACTTGGATGTTGAATGAACTCTGCTATTCAGAAATATAAATTTCAACATGATGACTGGGGAATGGAAAATTCTTATATCCTTGGACAAAATGTTATACATAAGAGTTACAAACAAAAACCAAAGTAGAAACAGCCTACAAGGAAGCATACAAAGCAGTTACAATGGATCATGTTCAACACTCACCCAAAACAGTTCTTCTCGAAACTCCAAAAACCCCACAAAAAACCACATCCATCCCAAAATCACTCAACCAACTAAACGCAAAAGGAGCCCTTGATGCAATTCTCTCTACAAAAGAAAAAAAGTCCATGAAAAAGCCTACATCCCAAAAAATTCAAAACTTTGGGATAGCCTAGTACCATACACTGAAGTCCATTCTTTAATGAGTTTCTACCCAGTAGCAAGGCATCCAGGCCCAAAAGCAGTATTCTTCGCAAACTCAACAGATCCTATGACATTATCGGACTATTTCATCCATGGATTTATAGATACAATATATCTAGAAGGAACGAATTTACATTGCATCAGTGAGTTTCCATCCATAGTTCAATCCATCATCCGAAACTATAAAACAAGATTTGCAAAACAAGAGCGAGGATTATTTATAAAAATGTATTCAAGTTATCCCATCTTTGACAAAGAATCTCAGCTACTCGTCCCAAGTATCACATTTGTAAATATGAGAACAAGTAATGGCTCTAAACCAACAAAGGATGAACTACCCCATGAAACACCTACACAAGACCATTTAATCTTTACATTAGCAGGTGTTTACCTCATCTCCTCAATAATAGGCAATGGAAAAGACCAAAGATCGAAAGTTCGAATAAACTGTGCTAGTAAACCATTCCTTATTTATTCACTAACCGATAGTGAAATAACTCCAAATGCATTAAAAGCATTAGAAATTTTTGAACAACCCTTCGAAAAGTTTTCACATCATCTAGCTGAATTACTATGGAATTAAAGAAGCAACTTTGCAAACATATCATGCATGCACCAAGACATAATTATAGTCATTGTAACGAAAATACAGAAGAAACATCATTCATGGAAGTGATGGACGAATAACAACAAACAAGCAAAAATAAAAAGGTGAAGTATTTAGTAAAAGGAAGCATTCAAAGAAGTAATCAACAAAGATTCACTCTACGAGGCAGTTACATAAGCAATGATCAAATAAAGCATTAACAATGTAATAATATAATTACGTCGTTCCTAATAATGTAAGTTGATTGTCATTTGTAATCATGTAAGATAGTGGAAAAATAAAGTCTTATAGTAGTGTCTTGTCTCATAATATAGAATGAGTGTTATTGGTATAATTTGGTCATGTAAAATAATTGTTAGGTACTATTTGTCGTCTTTTTTGGTAAATTAGTATTCGTGTGTGTGTGTATATATATATATATATATATATATATATATATATATATATATATATATATATATATATATATATAATGTCGAAAAAAATAAGCAAATTATTGGCTGCTTGGTAAGGAGTATCATTATCTTTGGAAGCAACCTGGTTTCGAATTTTGCCCACAACATATTATTAGTTCGCTAAATTTGGTTTTAGCAATATTTACGTGAATTTTCAAATGCTTATGTATATATCGATTAATTTAGTTGGTAAGAAGCATATTATTAGTTTGCTAAATTTGGTTTTAGCAATATTTACGTGAATTTTCAAATGCTTATGTATATATCGATTAATTTAGTTGGTAAGAAGCATATAAGTATCATTATCTTTGTAAAATACACCCACGTTCTTCTATCTCCTTGTGAAGCGCAATTATTATTTTTTTTTCAAATATTAACTTTACTTTATATTTATACAAATATATATATTTATACAAATATATCTAAAAGAATAATGAAGATTGTACCTAGTAACCACCTGACTTTTACCAACTTATTCCAGATTCTATATCCACGCAAATGGAATTCTTTTATGTATTTCTTTTGTTTAGATAACTATGGTTTTATAGGTATGTGTAAATATATTAAAAATAACAAGAAATGTTATGTAGTGTAGATATAATATTCAAGTTTAATATATTAGCATTTTTTTATTGTATTTAAGTTAAATTTGTTGGAACTCATTTTTATCATTTTTATATAGATCTATTTTTCATAAAGAAATAATATGTTTATAGTCTATTTCGTGAACGACTTCTCATTTTAACGAAAACCTAGCAAAAAAAAATACAATATTTAAGTTAAACTTATTAATTAGCTTATAAATAAATTTGTTTCCTAAAAAAAAAAATTGAAGTTCAAATGGTCAAAAAAAACATACCTCACTCATTAACGATAACTTTATATTAAAGTTAACTCAAATTTAGTGGTTGTATGAGTTTGATATATTCAAGGGTACTTTAATTTTTTTTACCCCGAGCCCCAAATATGTTTGGACCGGCTTGGAAACTGCTACCAATATATATTTATAGGGTAATTGGTAATAAAAAATATTAGGTCTTCTCCTAAAATGGTTAGAATATTATCACCCTTTATGCAATAAGCATTAGATATTATTTGCATAAAAAAACCATATTTTGATCAATTTTTCCGGAAAAAAAAACCTCTTTACCCGATAAAACATGTAAACCGAGTAAAAAGGCAAAAACAAAAGTTAGACTACATTTTTATTTATATTGTACAAAAAGTTTAGCTCTTATAAATAAACTTGTTAAAATGTTTCGTATTTTATGCAATTAACCCAATACTTTCAGATACGAACTTTCAAAAGCATGTTACAATTCTCATTAGCCAACTTGGTAAAAATAACATGATTCACATATTAAAACCAAAAGCTCATAAATCATAACTTTTAACACTAAAATTCAAACTTAAATTACATATTAAAAAGTCCAAAACAACCTTGATCTGACTTCATGGTTATAAACCAAAGCCTTATTTCTTTATCCTGTGTTTGAAACCTTTAATCCAAATGATCATCAACGCTTCTATCTACAGAAAAACAAGTAATCACAAATCTTGCATTAGATGCTGTTACATTTTTAACTGAAAAGTAAAGATGAAGTTTTACCTGGAGAGCATCTTATTTGACATTTGCGTTCACAACGTTGCATAAGCCTTGCTGAGAATATTTAAGCAAAATGGTAAGTGTAATCAATATAATCTGTGAATTGAAAGGAACAAAAATACATTTTGCTAATGTAAAATTAACAATCAATGTAATGAAGAACACTGATATCTTGATTTGAATCACGAACGATGAACAAAACTTTGTGCACATTAGGAAATTCTTCAATCTCTGTTTCCATAGCATAATCAAATCCCCAAACACGACTTATACATATGATGCTATTGTAATGATGTTTGCAACAGATCAACTAAGGCTCCAGTCATTTGCAAATAAGCTAGATTAGGTTTTTGTTTCAAGGTGGAAATTTTACAAGGGATTTCTTTGTAGATTTAACACCGACATAATGGATGAAATACAAGTTCAGATCGACTAGGATCGTCGATTGATGTTTGTGGACACCATAGTTTGGTGAACTTTACCATCTTCAGTTAGTATCCACAGAAATACAAGTTCAGATCTTCGGATTTAAACAAGTTATACTCAAGAACAGATCAATAAGCTGTGGGCGTGTGTTGAAAACAGAAAGAGGAAAAATGATTGGTCGGAGACACTTACTGTCGCGATTAACACAGCCGGTGGAACAGGAATCAAGGCAGTCGATACCTTGGGATTCAACCTGAGTTATATCGTTGGACGACATGATGAGAAGCACGACTAATGCTACTGCTGCGATCATCGTCTTCTTCTCCATTGAATTCGATTGTGCTTTTTCCCTAAAACTTTTTGCGGTAGGAGGTTTATCCAGAACGCCAACAAAATCTAGGATATTTATAGAAAATTCCCTCTCCCTCTCCTTTTGTAGAAATTCCGGTTTATATTTTTAACTTTTATATATGTTTTTTCACCGATTAAAGTCTTTTGTCCATGATTAATATTAATAAAACTTGGGTTTTGATTTAAAGAAAGTGACTAATCTAATCATATTTATTTGGGGTAATTACTAATCTAGCCAAATTAAGGGGTAATTAACAATTTTTAGCCAAAAATTAGCAAATGGCCAAAAATAGCCCACGAAACCCTAGGTTTCGAGATTTGCCTACTGTTTCGCTATTTCGTCTACTGTTTCGCGTTTTGTATAAAAAAAAAAAAAATTTCATTTTTGACATTCAAAACCGTAGGTTTTTTAAAACCTACGGTTTCCCAAACCGTAGGCTACGGTTTTCGCAAAAAAAAGCTACGGTTTATTTATTTATTTATTATTATTTTTTATTTTTTTGGGAGGGGTTTTATCTACTATTTTGAGTGTTTTATCTACTATTTTGGCCAAAAAACTACGATTTTAATTTTTTATTTTTTATTTTTTATTTTTTAATTTTTTTTTATTATTTTTTTTGTAATATAGAGTATAAAAAGAGTGTTTATAATATGTACAACAACTTTAACAATTATTTTGTTTAAATTTTAACAATTATTTGGTTTGAATTATTTTGTTTTAATTTTAACAGTAGTCAACTCTGACAAAAAAAGTAGACTACTTTTTGGGTAAAGTTGACTACTTTGTTGCTAAATTTGACTACTTTTTTGTTAAACTTGACTACTTTTTCGTCAGAGTTGACTACTGTTTTCAACCTATCTTATATATATTAAGTATTTTATATTTTTGAAAAGTTTATTCTCTCTAGCTTCTTTATCCTCAAAATTAAGATAATGAGTTGTAACGAGTATTTTGTATTGCTCATTACGGATGGAAGATGGGAGTTTGTTAATTCCCAATTATCAAATGTTTGGCCACTGGGATACAATCTGAGAATGTTTTATTTAGGTGTTGAATTTTACGAAAACACAACGTTCACCGAATTTGTTCAGTTGGTCAAGTGCAAGATGGGTCTTCCCGAAGAATCAAAAGTTAGTTTGGCCTATCAACATCCAGAACAACTCTATTATTGTGGTATTGTTGATGATCGTGATATTAGAAAGCTGATGAAGGTAATAAATGGCGTTGGAGATAAATATGTGTCTGTGTATGTGGTGGTTGAAGAAGGCGTTTGGCCGAACGAAATGGATGATAGAGGAAAGGCATCTGCAGCAAATTTATCAAGTGAAAAAAGGAGCAACAACCCAATAGGTAATTTTAAAAGTCCAAGTAAAAGTCAATATCATAGTGTTGCTGAAAAAGTAAATGTAGTGCCAGAACCGATTATGTATGTTACACCGGAGAATTATAAGTATATCGGTGATAATGATGTTGGTGCATATGTTAATGATGTTGGTGTAAATGATTCATTTGACAAAAAAAAGCAGTAGCCGTGGTGAATAAGGTTGGTAATGAATCTTGAAAACAGGAAGTTCCGTTTTTGCATGATGGTGAACTAAAAGGATATGGCGAGTTTGCGGATTGTGACAAGTTGGATATATCCGGCCAAGATAGTGATTCTAACGGAGAAGAATTAGATGACGAATCTAAGCTTATTTATTCAGATACCATGTTTCACGGTATGCCCCCTTTGCCTTCGTGTCCTGTAAACGCTGATGTGAACATTCCATGTCAGAGGGTGGATATAAGTGAAGAGATTAAGGTTTTAGACATTTTTGATGACAAAGAGTTGCTCAAGCTTGCAATCGGAAGACAATGCATGGAACAAGGTAAGCAGTATAAGACTACCAGATCGAGCAAAGGAAGGTTCGAGGTTGTTTGTTTGGTTAAAAATTGTTCATGGATGGTTAGGGCAAGGGGAATCCAATCGACTACTGCTTTCCAAGTCACAAAAGTTGTTGACCAACACACATGTTGTGCGACAAATTTGGAGTCTAATCATCGACAATCAAAGAAAAAGGTACTCGGCCACTTTATCGCTGAAGTATTGGCCGGAGACTATAATAGAGTTTATCGGGGCAATGAAATTGTTAGGGACACCAATTCGAAATTTCCAATCAATATCTCATACCAACAGGCATGGCGTGCAAAACAGTATGCGTTGTTGATGTTAAGAGGTACCAAAGAGGATTCATTCACCAAACTACCAGCGTATCTGCACAACTTGGTCAAGCACAATCCAAGAATTGTTACTCAGATAAGAGTAGACGATGATGATCGGTTTGAGTTCGTGTTTATCGCGTTGGGTTGCTCGGTAAACAGTGTTAATTTTTATAACAAATATAACATATGAATCCTAATTGGTATTTGTTAATGCAATGAAAAATAATTGTAGGTACGAGCGTTCATCAAGTATTGTAGGCCGACCCTAATAATTGATGGTGGTCACCTAAAGGGTGAATTCAAAGGCACGATGTTGCTCCCAGTGACAATGGACGGTCAAAACCAAATCATGCATGTTGCTTATGCCATTTGCAAAAGTGAATGTACTGAGACGTGGTCCTGGTTCCTTCGAAAGCTACGTGAATGTATAGGCAACTTGGAAGACCTTACAATCATATCTAATATGGCTCCATCCATAGCGACGTCAATTAATATTTCCTCACGCCTATCATGGAATATGTGGTATCCATTTGTATTTCAACATTTCAGCAAAATTTGGAAGCAGCGATACAATGCACGCATTATTTTAGGAGACATGCAAAGTCTATACCATTAAAAAATTCGATAATGGGATGAAAAAATAAAAAATGTAAATATTCGTGTATGGGAATACCTACAAAACATCAATCCAGAAAGATAGGCCATGGCACATTTTCCTGGGAATCGGTATTTTCTTATGACATCAAATAGTGCGGAGTCGATAAATTCAATGTCACGATTTGCAAGAAAGATGTCAATATTGATGTTGATTGAGTATTTTCGTGCAACAATGCAACAATGGAGTTTTCAGAAACGTAATGTTGCAGGTACTAATATTTTATATACATTGTTGATTGAGTATTTTCTTAACTCGTGTAGTAATAATTTTATGAAAAAATATGTCTATTTTTTAGCTGAAACTAAAACAACACTCACCCAATGGGCTGAAACGATTATACAAGCAAATAAGAATGCTTGTAATAATTGGATGGTGTACCCTATCTCAAATAGCAGATTTGAAGTGAAAAGCTCTAACCACAAAAGTGTCATTGTTGATTTCCAACAAAGAACTTGTACATGTAGGCGGTGGCAAATAGATGGCTTACCTTGTGGCCATGTTATAAAAGTGCTGACAATGAACCGTTACGAAGATTGTTCGGAATTCGCTTTAAAAGCTTACTTTACAGAAACATTGAGGAAAACTTATGAGGAGTCTGTGAACCCCTTACCAAGTTCATCTGAGTGGGAGATCCCCGATGATGTGATGACCGTGAAGCCACCCATAATGGAGAGACGTCATCGGGTAGGCCAAGAAACACTGACGTATTCCGTCGCAAGGTGAGCGTCCCATACGACAAGAATGTTCTACATGCGGTCAATTTGGACACACTAGGAACGATTGTACGGGTAGGGGATCGGGGAGCAGTTCTGGGGGAGGAAAAAATCTACACAAAAGGGCATAATGACTGATGAGTTTACATCCGGGAGCGGGTCACAGAACGAAAGCTTGTACCCTACTTTTGATTTCAATAGTACATTTGATTTGAATTGTCCTTAGATTAATGTAGGAAAGCAATGAATTCCCGTATTTGTAATTTGTATTGCTTGTATTAAAAAGCACTTCTGAGATTATTAATTAAATCTAGTACTCCACTTATTAACTCCTTTATTCCATGAAAAATAAAACACAAACATAAAACATTATAGAAATCGAGATACACCCTTACGAAACATTACATAAGACATTTCACATAAAAGAGCCTTCTACATGAAATATTTTTATTTTTAAGTAGGATCCATGCATCCTCATACTCGAAGTCACTTCCCTCGTGCTCCAAATGTAATATCTTTAACCATTTCTAAAAGATCTTCGTCGTTGTTTGGATAACGATACCTGTTTTTAAGATGATGATACCATCGATTAAACCATGTGATTTTTTCCTTTAAATCCATCCACTTACCAAAAATATCTTCTTGTGTTCGGTGTTTTCCTTCTCCCAACGAGAGGTTAAACATGGTTGTTATGCGGGTCCATTCATCACCTTCTAAGCAATCAGGGTTAACCATGGTTACATCATCGTAAATGTTCATCCAACAACGTGTTACCACCATTACCTCTCTTATCGTCCATGGATGTGGAGTATTGGACAGAGCAACTGCGTTGGAAGAAGTTGGTTGATTGGAGGCCATTTTTTTAAGTTTTTTGTTAGTTTGTTATAATTTTATAGGAGTACTTAAATAAGAAAAAAGAATAACATACAATTAGGTGGATTCCCATAAGTACTGTTTGAAACTACATTATGAAACCGTAGTCAAATAATGTCAAAGAGTAGTCCGATTGTCAGATACCTTACACGGAGATACTGTTTGAAACGACAAATATACTGTTCGAAAAGACAATACATTATGCAAGCTACAAAGTAGTAGTCAAACTCTATGAAACCGTAGTCATATAATGTCAAAGAGTAGTCCGATTGTCAGATACCTTACACGGAGATACTGTTTGAAACGACAAATATACTGTTCGAAAAGACAATACATTATGCAGGCTACAAAGTAGTAGTCAAAGTCTATGAAACCGTAATCATATAATGTCAAAGAGTAGTCCGATTGTCAGATACCTTACACGGAGATACTGTTTGAAACGACAAATATACTGTTCGAAAAGACAATACATTATGCAGGCTACAAAGTAGTAGTCAAAGTCTATGAAACCGTAATCATATAATGTCAAAGAGTAGTTCGATTGTAGATACCTTACACGGAGATACTGTTTGAAACGACAAATATACTGTTCGAAAAGACAATACATTATGAAGGCTACAAAGTAGTAGTCAAACTCTATGAAA